CTTTCACGTGTTCGCTGCAGGTGGATGGGGGCAGAGAAAAGTGATGACACCAGTCCCCATCTTTTATAATTTCTTCCAGCTTGCTAAAACTTCTGGGCATGTGATGGACAAACGCAAAGTGCTCTACTTAGGAAGGAACAATCAGTTTCACACATGCAGAATGGGAAGTGACTGTCTAGGAAGGAGTACGGCAGAAAGGGATCTAGGGGTCATAGTGGACCACAAGCTGAATATGAGTCAACAGTGTGACGCTGTTGTAAAAAAAGCAAACATGATTCTGGGCTGCATTGTCAGGAGTGTTGTGAGCAAGACATGAGAAGTCATTCTTCCACTCCACTCTGTGCTGATTTCGCCTTAATTGGAGTACTGTGTCCAGTTCTGGGCACCACATTTCAAGAAAGATGTGGAGAAATTGGAGAAGGCCCAGAGAAGAGCAACAAAAATGATGAAAGGTCTAGAGAACATGACCTACGAGGGATGACTAAAAGTATCTAAAAGGGTGTTACAAGGAGGATGGAGAAATTTTTTTTTCCTTGGTCAAATGCAGCAAGGGAGGTTTAGGTTGGACATTAGGAAAAACTTCCTAACTGTCAGGGTGGTTGTGGAATCTCCATCCCTGGAGATATTTAAGAACAGGTTAGACAGACACCTGTCAGGGATGGTCTAGACAGTGCTTGGTCCTACCGTGAGGGCGGGGCACTGGACTCGGTGATCTCTTGAGATCCCTTCAAGTTCTAGTGTTGTTTGATTCTATGATTCTATAGAGGGTCCACTCCAATTGGACAAACATTCTCCATCGTCTTTGTGCTCCCCGTGAAAAGGCTTCTTACACAGATTCCCAGTATTTGTGCCTTATATCTGAGAAGTCAAGGAAGATGGGAGAGATGTCAAATGACTGGAAAAGGGCAACTATAATGCCAATCTATTTGATTTAAAATTGGTCACAGAGCGCACTTATCAAGTGTGTGCATGGTACCAAACTGAGAGGAGTGGCAAGCGCTTTGGGTTATTATTGAAAATGACCTGGAAAAATTGGAGAAATAGTCTGAAGTTAATACAATGAAATTCAATGAGGACAGGAGCAAATACCTCCACTTGGGAGGGAACAATCAGTTCTTAGGAAGGAATATTGAAGAAAGGGATCTAAGGGTCATAGTGGACATCATGACTCAAAAAGTAAAAATCCTCCTGGGATATATTAAAAGGACTATTGTGTGAAAGTCATGAGAAGTAATTCTTGTGCTCTAATGTATGCTGATTAGGCCTCAAATGGAGCATTGTTTCCACTTCTGAGTTCCACATTTTAGGAAATATATAGACAAATAAAAAGTCAGAAGAGAACAAAAAGGGATTAAAATCTAGAAAATATGACCTACGAGGCAAATAGTTTATTAACATGGAAAAGAGAAGACTGAAAGGGGACATCTACACAAAAGGGCAAAAGTTGAATTAAGCTACACAAATCGAGCTACGTCAATTGCGTAGCTGAAGTCGAAATAGCTTAATTCGGCTTTTGGCGCTGTCTACACAGCAGGAAGTCTGAGTTAGAGCACTCGTCCTCCGACCTCCCGTACTCCTCGTACAATGAGGACACAGCAGGAAGTCTGAGTTAGAACACTCGTCCTCTGACCTCCCGTACTCATCATACAATGAGGATTACAAGAGTCAGATTAAGAAGTCCTCCAGCTCAACATTATTTTGAAATAAAGGCTGGCAGTGTAGACATACTATTATTTCGGAATAACGTCAGTTATGCCAAAATAACACTGCTATGTAGATGTACCCAAACTGGACATGATTGCCATTTTCAAGTATTTTAAGATTTATTACAAAGGGAAGTGAGAAAAAAGAATTGTTCTCCTTCCCCTCAGAGGATAAGGCAAGAATCAATGGGCTTAAATTGCAACAAGGGACGTTTAGGTTGGACATTAGGGAAAAAATCCTGTCAAGCTTGATACACACTGGAATAAATTGTCAAGGAAGGTTGTAAAACCTCCATCACTGGAAATATTTAATAGCAGGGTAAGCTAATACGTTTCAGGGATGAACTAGATAATGCTTAGCCCGGACATGACTTCAGGGGGCTAGTCTAGATGACCTGTCTAGATTGCTTGATTCTCTCATTTCTTGGAGGGGAGTTGATGACTACAATAGATACTGCCTGGCTACTCCACTGCTGTACATGAAAGGCTGTTCTGAGGCCGGGGTGGCCTTACCAAGAAATGAACTGAGGCGGCCGTCTCAGGTGCCAGACTGTGGGGGGCGCTACTAGGACCCAGAGGGTACAAAATTGTATCTACTGCTGTTAGTAATAGAAATGTAGCCGTGTCCGTCTGCTATGTACATTGGACAAACGTCTCAGACACTTCGCCAAAGGATCAATGCCCACGAAACAGACATTAGACAGGATCACAAGGAAAAAACAGTTTCTTGCCCTTTCAACCACAAAGGATACTGTCTCAACGACTTAACTACCTGCATCCTGCTTCAAAGACCTTTTAAATCTGTACTTGAAAGGGAATCCTCTGAACTGTCATTCATGCTAAAATTCGACACTTTACGCGTGGGTATTAAACACTCTAGTTATCTTACCCATTACAAAGATAGCTTCCCCAATTATCACCTCTAATATCATTAGCCCACAGACATTTACCTTCCCCCTCCCCCCCCGCATCCTCCTTCTGTTCTGAAATTTGATTTGTCCTTTTCATATGTGTTCATTTTTTTAATTGTATCCTTTGCTATATATGGTTGTGACTATTTTCTTCCACTATTTGATCTGAGGAAGTGGGTCTGGCCCACGAAAGCTCATCACCTAATAAACCATCTTGTTAGTCTTTAAAGTGCTACATTGTCCTGTTTTTTGCTGCTGTTAGTTCTCCTTTATTTGAGTAGGTAGCAGAGCAGTACCACAAGAGGAATAGAACAGGAAGAAGGCAGAATTGAGACCGTTCAAAGTTTTGGCCCAAGCGAGTGAGCACGGGGGCATCATTTGAGCTCCCCACCTCAGGTGTCAAAATGTTGCGGGCTGGCCCTGCTCTGAGGTGTCTCCAGTCTCCCATCATACTTTAGGACAGTGGTCTCCAACCGTTTTACACACAAGATCACTTTTTGAATTTAAGTGAATTCCAAGATCTACCCCAAACTCAAATATCCTTCCCCCGCCTCCTTTGAGCTCCTTCGCCCCGCCTCTCTCTGTGGCCCCTCCCCTGCTCACTCCATTTTCCTCCCTCCCAATACTCATTTTCACCAGGCTGGGGCAGCGGGTTCGGGTGCAGGCTCTGGTCTAGGATTAAGGGATTTGGAGTGTGAGAGGGGCTCTGATCTGAGCTTGGGGCTGCAAGCTGTGGTGCTGAAGGGGGTTCTAGGTGCGGGCTCTGGGAGGGTGTTTGGATGCATGGAGGCTCAGGGCTAGGGCAGGAGCTTGGGGTGCAGGAGAGAGTTCATGACTGGGATAGGGGTTCAAGATGTGGACTCCAGCTGGGCACCGCTTAGCTCAGGTGGCTCCTGAGTGATGGTGCAATGAGACTAAGGCAGGTTCACCCCTGCCCTGGCCCTGCACCACTCCCAAGAGCAGGTAACAAATTTGCTCTCTCCCTAGTGCACCACTGCCCTCTCTCTGGTCTGTGGAGATAGGATACAAGATACATCAGCACCCATCCTATCCCTAGCCCTGCCCTGTCCAGCAAACAGGAGACAAGATACATCAGCACCCATCCTATCCCTGCCCTGTCCAGCAAACAGGAGGCTCCTGGGGGAACAGCTCCAAGGCAAAGGGCAAGAGATGTGCAGCAATGGGAGCAGGAGCAGCTGAAGTGCTGGCACTTGATAGCCACATGGCCAAACCAGTCAGGATCATCTGTCAGAGGCTCCAAGATCTACCAGTAGATCCCGATCGACTGGTTGGTGACCCCTGCTTTAGGACATGAAGGAAGGTTTCATCACTTCACACACAATAATAGCCCGTACAACCCAGTGAGATAACAATGTTTAGCAGATAAAAACGTTTAGAATGGTACCAGACAAGGTGTGCTTTATTCAAAGCATGTAGCAAATCCTTCACCATGATGCAGAGTGCAACAGAGCTGATCCAGTGAATGATGGGAGAGGGGAGGAGAGGAGTAAGCCACTGAGGTGGGGGTCTGTGGAAAGAGGTGGGAAAGGAGGGAGGAGTTTCAGGGCAAGTAGAACAGGTGGCAGCCCAACGAAGCGTCCATAGATCAAACCCCCAGTGTGTCACATTGACTACGCACAATAAGGTCAGAAACAGGTTTTAGGTACAGGCAGTCCCCGGGTTACGTACAAGATAGGGACTGGAGGTTTGTTCTTAAGTTGAATTTGTATGTAAGTCGGAACTGGTACATATTGTAGGGGAAACTCTAGCCAAACATTTCTCCAGAGCTCAGTTTTATTCTCCCACACCTCACTTCCCTCAGTCCTTTATTCTCAAGCTGAGGTGTCTGCTGAGAAAAGCTGCTCTGCGTCTCCTTGGTTTGCTGTGGGGGGGGCGCTAGCTTCGCGTCTCTCTGGTCTGCTGGGGGGAAGCAGCTAGTGCGGGGTTGCCTCACCCCATTTGTAAGTAGGGATCCGATGTAAGTCGGATCCATGTAACCTGGGGACTGCCTGTACTTTTGACTGTGCAGTGGGGTGATTCAGGAAAAGTGTCCAGCTCTTCATGGAGCTTGCTGAAGGAACCACAGCACCAGGAGAAATTCCTAGGTCCCTTTATTAGTGAAAATCTGGAATAGACTGTCCCGGATCTGTTTGGTCCTCACCCCATAGATGATGGGGTTTAGCATGGGAGGTACCAGGAGGTACACATTGGCAAGGAGAATATGGAAATGTGGTACATAAAAGGCTAAAATAACACAGAGGTGGGAGCTACAGGTCCCGAAAGTCTTGAGCCGGGCATCCTTCGTAGGAAGGCTGAAGATGGCCCTGAGGATCTGGACATAAGACACAACAATACAAAAAACATCTATGCCAATCACAGAGAATACCACAAAGAGGCCATAGTAACTACTAATGCGGGTGTCTGAGAATACCACAAAGAGGCCGTAGTAACTACTGATGCGGGTGTCAGTGCAGGCCAGGTTCACTACGGCCATGTGCTCACAGTACGTGTGGGGAATGATATTTGTTCTGCAATATGGCCACCGTCTGGCAAGGATGGGATAGGGCACTAAGAGCATGCCACCACGCAGAGCCACGGCCAGGCCAATCTTGGCCACCACAGGGTTTGTCAGGATGGTGGAATGTCTCAGAGGATCACAGATGGCCACGTAGCGATCTAAAGCCATGGCTACACCCTCTTTTGTCATTTCAGTGCAATCATGTTAACTTTTTATCATCCTCTCCTTTACCATGTCCCCTTTTCTTGTCTGCTCCCTAAACTAAAGAGTCCCTGACTTTTCTGTCTGTCCACACAGAGCACCCTCCGCTTTCTCATAACATGTCCCAGAAACCCCCTTCACATCAGTTACCCCTGGAGGCTCAACTCCATCTTCACATTGCACAGGATGGTGAAGTTCCCCAAGAGGGCTATAATGTACATGGTGTAGAAGGGGATGGAGATCCAGACATGGGCTGTCTCCAGGCCAGGAATGCAATGCAGGATGAAAGTGGAAGGATTGATGACCTTGGTTATGTTAGAATCTGACATGGGGGGAAGGTGTCCAACTCTGAGACAGAACGATATCTCCGGTGTGCATCGTACGTTCCCCTTGACTTCCTATGTTTGCTTAGGATGATGGTCACAGTAGAAATGTCCAGCTCTCACGTGTCTCCTGTATTCACTGTACTTACACCAGACTTCCTGTATGTGCCCAGAATTATGGTGGCAGTGCGAATGCCTGGATGGAAAGACAATGTCAATATGAGGCATGACATGCACTGGTAGAGGCTCTTTGCATGGGTGAGGCAGCTCTTTTCTGCTTCACACACTGAAAAATGAGACTTTCACTGGTCAGAGGAATGAATTATAAGCAGCCAGCTCTACTAATGCCAGTTCTGTATTTAATGTTGCTCCATATTTCAATAAACTCTACGGCTGTGTCTACACTGGGCTGCTTTTCCGGAATAACGTTCCGTTTTAAGCATTTCCGGAAAAGGGTGCCAGTGTAGACGTAGCCTACCCGTTGTCCTGTAGCAAAGAGTAAAGGGCAGCAGCAGAAAAAATGAGCGTGGATATAGAGAAAGAGAGATGGAAAAACTATTCCGGAAAAGGGCCAGTGTAGACAGCACAGTAGTGTTTTCCGCAAAAAAGCCCCAATCGCGAAAATGTCGATCGGGGCTTTTTTCCAGAAAAGCACATCTACATTGGCCATGGACGCTTTTCCGGAAAAAGTGCTTTTCCGGAAAAGCATCCTGCCAATGTAGACATGCTTTTTCCGGAAATACTTGTAACGGAAAACTGTTCCGTTTTAAGCATTTCCGGAAAAGGGTGCCAGTGTAGACGTAGCCTACCTGTTGTCCTGTAGCAAAGAGTAAAGGGCAGCGGCAGAAAAATGAGCATGGATATAGAGAAAGAGAGATAACAAGAGAGAGAGAACACAGGACAATCTTTGCTAAGTATTTTCTTTAAAAAGGGAAATTTTAAAAAAAGTTGTGAGAAGGCAATGAAATATTGGAAATACTGGTATGGAATCAGTTAAAAAGTGTAGGCATATAATTATTGCCAGTCAACAGCAGGATTTACTGCAGATTTAGATGCAATCTCAAGAAAAACACCCTTACTGTAAGAAGAGGAGGATATTGGAAAAGACACCTGGGTATCTCATGGATATTACTTTGCTGGAGGCTTTCCAGAGAAGGTTGAATAGTTATCCCTCTTGGTTGTTTTATACAGAACATTCTCTGCATCTTGACCCATGCGGTCAATGTTCCCTCTAATCTTTTTCCATCCATGTGTGGAATAATTTTAAATGCATCAAGCATGTGCGAATGAGCACCACCCATAGAAACAAAAAAAACTAGTTGTGAGTGCTCTGCTAATGAGTTGGTTGGCCTCTGGATTTCTCCTGAGGGGTTGCTGAAGAGCACAGCTTACAGGGAACTTGGCTTGAGGTCTCTTCTCACTCTGTGGATCTATGATTCCATGATGTATATTCCCATGATAGACCAGAACTTAGTCAAACACCAGATCAATACTGGAGCAACTGGGTGAAATTGGGTGCCCTGTGTCATACAGAAGGTCAAACTGGATGGTCTAAGGGTCCCTTCTGACTCTGAACCCTAGGGGTGCGTCTAGACTGGCACGATTTTGTGGAAAAGTGGCTGCTTTTGCGCAAAATCTTGCCTCCTGTCTACACTGGCCGGAAGTATTTGCGCAAGAACACTGACTTTGTAATGTACAAAATTAGTGGTTCTTGCACAAATACCCCGAGGCTTCCGCTCAGGGATAAACCCTCTTGCACAAGTATTCTTGTGCAAGAGGTCCAGTGTAAACAGCCATGTTAATTTCTTGCGCAAGAAAGGCCGATGGCTAAAATGGCCATCCGAGCTTTCTTGCGCAAGAGAGCGTCTACACAGGCACGGATGCTTTGGCGCAAAAGCAAATCTTTTGTGCAAAGGCACGTGCCAGTATAGACGCTCTCTTGCGCAAATACTTTTAACGGAAAAACTTTTCCGTTAAAAGTATTTGCGCAAAATCATGCCAGTGTAGACACAACCTAGGAGTCTCTCAATAAAGTAACCAGATCAGGCATTTATATGTATTCAGTCTCACACCACATGAACAAGAGCACATTCCACACCATTGAAAGTCTGAGAAAAGTCATCTCTTCACGCACTCAGTATTAAGCCTGTAGAGCTGCTTGGAACAGACATTATTGGAGCAAAGCACTTAGATGAACGGGATTCCGCAATGGACTGGTCATTTTTGGTCATGCTCATGGTGCTTCTTTGCATTTGGGCCGCCTGAGAACTGCAGCCAGGAGTCCTCATTTTTGGCTGCAAATAGGTTTGCCCATCTTTCAGAGTTTAGTCACCCATGCTGGGTGTCTGGTTCCTCTGGAATAGTGGGGAGTTGGTGTGATTTTTTTTGAAAGACTCAGGCAGAACAGTTCAACAAACTTCTCAATAAAACTGGGAGAAGAGATGTCTCCCCATTTAAAAAAGAAATCATAAAATTATTCCAGAGGGGCAGTCTAGCACTGCCATGCTTCCTAGAAGTTAAAAATCTGGTGACGGCCCCCAATTAACAGTCAGCGCCCTACTATGTGTAAGCGGGGGAAAGGTCCCGCTAATGTGGGGAACTTTCCTGGCTTCTACACCACCCCGGTGAAATGGACCAGCGAAGGGATCTGAGTCCCCGCTCCCACTTCCTTTACCCCACAGCTCCCCTGATCCTGAGGGCACCCCTCCACTCTCCTGAGTAGCAGAGTCCTTGAAACCCCAACAAGGCTGGACCCAGGTTTCCTGGGGCTTAATCCCCGACCTTGTCGTCACTAAGGGCAGGAGTTAGGGTGTCCCCACTCGGAGGTGCTCTCTTTACACTGCAGGCCTTCTTGGCCCAGTGGTCATTTCATAAGGTTCAAAGCAAATACAATTTATTAAACATCAACTGATTAAAGAGAAAAGAATAAGAAAAAATGAGAATGGTTAAATGAGAACACACAGCCCTGCTCTGTAGCACAGGGACATCAAAACAGCAGCCTGCAGAGTGTAAGGACAGTTCACAGTCTCTTCCTTA